ACTCGCTAGCTCATATGGTGGAAAACCAAGGCAGAAAGGGTTTGGGCACGGTCCAGCACATCTCATCCGGGTTTGTTCTCGGAGAATAAGACCAGATCCCTTTCAAATCCCTCAAACCCTAATTTCGCATCCTCAGGCAACACAGACATAACCTGCGGCTATGTCACACAGCTGAAAAGGTCTGCGGGGCCTGAGAATCCAGGTGACTCACCCAAGAGTCCACGTGCAGTTCCAGGGACATACTGGGATAGGTGAGAGGAGGGACTGCCCTGTGACCCCTGCACACTCGTCCTGGCTCCACTCTGGCTTAGCTGAAGGCAAGTGGGGGTGTTTGTATTTATATGGTCCAGCCACTTACTCTTATTCATTTTTGTTCATTCACCAACTGTGCACATGCTGGGTGTCCCTCTCTCCCCACCTTTTTATTTCTTTTAAGATTTATTTATTATGTATGTAGTGTTCTGCCTGCATGTATGCCTGCAGGCCGGAAGAGGGCACCAGATCTCATTATGAATGATTGTGAGCCATCTTGTGGTTGCTGGGAATTGAGCTCAGGTGCTCTGGTGCTCTTAACCTCTGGCTCCTCTCTCCACTTCCCAGTGCTAGAATTACAAACACACACGGCCTAGCCAGCTCCCCAGCCCCTCCAGACGCCTGCTTTTCTTGATGTTTCTGGGAGCTGCCTCTACCAGCCATATACCCTCAAACTCATTTTCACTGCCTGAACGTCTGCCCCTGACGGAGCAGGTATTGACATCCAGCGATCTCAGCAGAGGTGACTTTCCTGCTACCCAGTTGTAAGAGCTGCAGTCGCTCCCACCTGATCTGTCTCCAAATAACTGTCTTCCCAATGTTACCCGTCCAGCACCTTACCCCATAGAATCCAGAGCTGGAGATCAGGGAAAGGCAATAGCAGAGGCATCACAGGCAGGCCTCAACATGGGACAGTGAACCAGGACTCTCCACCTTCCACAGGGTTGTCCTAACCTGGGAGTGACTGTCATCAGTGAGATGACAGGACAAGGGTGGGCTTCCCATCTACTTTTCCCCACTTCCCAAACTCAGAACAGGCATTGCAAATGCATATCTGAAATAAAATATATGTCTGTCCCACATGGCCCTCCTGTCCCTCCCTGGCAATCCCCATGCAGACTCCAGAAGGGTCAATATTAGCAAAGTTTTATTTCAACTCTTTTCTGCCCATAAATGACTAAAAAAAAGCCGGTGTGCAGGAGGCAATGCCACCTGCTGGAGGCAGCGCCAGGCACCGAGTCTGTCTCCAAGGTAAGAGGCACTGCTCAGAGGCCCGCCCCCAGGCTGGGGACCAGGCAGGAGCGAGGTTTGGGATGGAGAAACAAGCCAGCATGGTGGTTCCAGCCCAAGCCGGAGATCCCAAGATCTACCACACTCTGTTGGGTTGACAACTTAGGGCACCCAAGACTGTAAGGAGCGGGCATGAGGTTTCAGAAGGTTCCATGTACTGTCCCAGGAACTCTTGGTCTGCAGGGGGTGGGAAAAGTAGCCTGTCACTGCCAGTCACCCTCCTAAGAGAGCCTCTGGGTGCGGCTGTATAATGTAGTGTGAGGGGCACAGGCCATGCCATGGCCTGAGGCAGGTGAGTGGATATAGGTGTAGACGTGGGTGCTGGGACTGTGGCTTCCCTTTTCTTTTCTGTAGACTGTGGTCCATGACAATGGGTAGACATGGTACTGACAGCTCTGTGTGTCTGTCTGTCTGTATGTGTCTGTCTGTGTGTATCTGTGTGGTGTGTGTATAAGGGGGTCATGGGACATCTCTGATAATGGCTAGTTAGTGCCAAACAGGAGCCTATGCAGAAAGTGGTCAACAGGGACCACCTGATACAAAGTCCTGATCCCAAAGGGGCCCCTCAGGGGCCAGTACAGCTGGATGACCAGGGCCGGGCAGACCAGGCTGAACCCAGGCCCCAATATGGATGTGAGCTTATGTTATGTGAGGGACAGTAGTGGGGAGGGAAAGGGTGGACAGGTAGCTATGGTGAATACATGAGCAGCAGGCATGGTAATGGCCAGCGTCCAGCCATCAGAAGGTAAAGCATCGCTCCTTGGGGTGGCCCACACGCTCCAGGTTTGGCAAACAGGCAAACTGGATCATGGGTGGAGGTCCACACATCAGTATCAGCGTCTCCTCCCCAGGAGGTGGAAGGTGGTCCCTGATCATCTCCTCATTCACGAAGCCCTGGCTGTAGTTCCAGTCTGTAGAACAAGAGACCAGCTCAGTCAGGATGGAATCGGCTGCCCTGCTGACCCCAGTTTCCCTGCCAGTCCTGTCCTCTCCCAGATGCTATTCATTCCTAAACCTACCACCTGCTGACAGCCTGCAACCAAAACACAAGGCCTTCCCACTTGCCCTCACCCACTTTACAGTTTGGAACCCTGCCCATGGCCCCCACAACTATCTAGGACTATTTAGTCTTGCAGTGCTAGAATAGAGTTTGGCTCATGCATGCTAAACAAGTGGCCTGCCCAGGATAAGGCATATGAGTTTCATTTTATAGAAACAGATGCCCAGAGGAGCCAGAATTGTTCACAGTTACACCCTAGTCTCCCTAAGGAGGTGCCCAGCCCAGGCTGGTCAGAGTGGCATTCTTGACACCTTGAACCCCAGCTGCAAGCTCACCACCTGACTCCTCTGCCACCTCAGAGTCAGCGCACAAGAAGTAGGGTCTGGTTCACAGATGGATTCTGGTCCCTGACCTGAAACTGTTACTCAGTAAACGATGCACAGGCCAGGACTGAAATCCCAGCACTTGAGAGAGACAAGGAAAGGGTGGACGTGAGTTCAAGGCCAGTTTGAGGACTGTAGAGTGAGAATGTCTCACCATAAATAAATAAACAAAAGACTTCCCTAGAAGGGGCAGCAAGTAATAAGGGTCCAGGATCTGACACTGGAGAGGCCAGAACAGACTCTAGGCCTGGGCTCTGGGCGGCAGCTGCTCCCTCCAGGTCCTGCCACCACCTCCCTCTTTTCTGGGCCTGTGTGCACACTACTTCCACCCTTCCCGTCCTTCATAATAGGTAATGTGGCAGAGGGAAGCCAGCACACGGTGGCTGGGGAGGGCTCTGGTCCAGTGTTGACTTTTAAGGACTGGCTGGTTCCGGATGTTCAGAACAATTCTGACACCTCCCGGTCCACCTGAAGATACCTGCTCCAGGCCAGTCCCGGGTCTGTGCCCCAGAGGCACAGACATCCTCTAGATTGGTTTCAAAGTAGGCAGGTGGAGGTAGCGGCTGAGCAGAGGAATGCTGGGCCACTGACACCTGCGACTGAGGCTACCTCTGAGACTCAGGGCTCCGCCAGGCCTGGCAGAGGCCCCTCAAGCCCCTCGTGGCCATCACTCAGGATTATCTCTTGCTTGTCTCTGCCCTCTGAAACCCAGAGGAGCTTCCTCGAAGCCTTCAACACCAACAGAAACAACACAGAAGCTCAAGGTTAAAAAGGCACTGGGGCCAGGGAGATGGCCCAGTGGGTAAAGGCACTTGCTGTGCAAGCCGAGCCTGGAGACCTGGGTTCGATGCCCAGAACTCAACTCCACAAACTTATCCTCTAACCTTCACATGTGTGCTGTGGAATGCATCCTGCAGCACACACAGAGACATACAATTACAACGTTGTTAATGTTTTCAAAAGGCACTGACTGACAGGGAGGCGTTGCCTCTGGTATCTCCTCTATGGGTCTCCAGGTGCAGGAGGCACCAGTGCAGTCCCAGGGGACGCTAGGACTGGGGAGAATCCACTGGGTTTGAGCAATGGGTACCGTGAGCTAAATAACTGAACACATTTATTTCCCAGAGTGACATACAAGGTCTGCTTGTGGCATACATGCATCACAGCCATTATTTCTGTTGTGAGCCTCATCCCTGACTCTTTAGGCCAGCCCTTGTTTTTCTTCCATTTCTACATTCCGTTTGTACCCCTCTGACTCAGCGTGTGAGTCACTGTAAGCTTCCTAGGATTCCTCTAGAACAAGGCGTGGTGCAGCCAGACAGCTGCCTGGGAACGAGCCATCTGACAGGGCAGACGGGAACAGAGCAGAAGCTCAGACATTTTTGCATGGTGTTTCCTTATCCAGGTCCCAAAGGCCCTGGGGAAACCTAGCATTTGCCACACGTGTGGGCTGCTGGTCCCGTGTCTGAGTCCTAAGGGCCTGCTGCTGCTTCCCTATGGGTCAGGATGGTACTGAAGAAAAGGAAAACACCGGCTGATAACCCAGCTCTTGCCCTGCCTGGCCTTGCTATGAAAACCAGCCATGCGAGATGGCCTGCATTTCCACAGACCACCATGAGGGGGCAGCTCTGGCCCTGACCCCCTCTGGAGGGCGGTCTCAGCAGCTCCCAGGCAAGCCCACCTCCCACAGACACTTTCCTTAAAGAAGAAAAGAAGCCATTCAGACACCCACACCCAGTGCCACGCTGACTCACACACACATGGTATTGAGTAGCTGTTTCTTCCCACTAAAACTCCTTCCTGCCCCAGGGCAGTAAGGCCAAGGCTCATAAAAACGCTATAGAAATTTGGGAGACTGCTGGGGCCTCCCTGGGGTTACAAAAGGCAGGAAAGTGGTCTATGGAAGGGGAGTCTCCAGTGGAGCTGCCTGCAAGCTGCACTGGGATGCCGCGGTCACGAGTGGGTACCATGCTGGGGTGTGCTTCTTGGTGATGCAGCTCCTTGAGAGACACCATGTTCCTGTAAGAGACCCCTCAGCCATTCTCTTGGGTAACCCCCCAAAACTCACTGGACACCAAGCTGAACTTGGGTGGAATCATTCATTTGCTCCCTCTAACCAAGATAAATAGAAACAGTCTAACTTTTTGCCCTCCCCACCCTGGGTTAATAGAAATAGTCTTTGATCTCTCTGCCAGGGGGAGACTAGAAACAGTTTATCTTTTACCTTTGCACTCTTTCCCAGAGGGGACTAGAAACAGTCTCAGGGGGAAGCAGGACAGCTGCTTTCTTTACAGCAAAGACAGTAGTGTTAGTTGCTGTTGTTTTAAGGAGTTAGGGTCCCAAGTGGCTCAGGTTGGCCTTGAACTTGCTAGATGGTTGAGAATGATGAACTTCTAGTCCTCTTACCCCCACCTTCTCCTGAACACTGAGATTGTAGGCATGTGCCACCATGTCCAGCCTGTGTTATGCTGTAGGTCAGACCTAGGGCTTCATGCCTGCAGTGAGCCCACGCCAACACTGATGTGACCACTTAGACCCTCATTATTGACTCAAAGCAGGAAACGAAGAACAGCTCAGCTCCCAGATAGCAGGCTCACGGGAGTTTGGGGGCCTCATTCCCTCCTTCCAGCATGGGCCTGGCTCCTCCACAGCCCCTCTCCAGAGTGAGTGACCAGAGAAAATACATACAAAGGCTGTTCAGATTACAAACCACACAGAAGCTGCCACCCCAACCCTCAGCACTGTCCCAAGGCCTGAGCCAGGCCCAATGAGATAGTGTGGGATTCTCTGTCCAGTGGGGGCAGGGTGGAGAGGGCAGGGCTTCCAGCCTTGCTCTGCTGCTCTCTAGCTGTGTGATGTGGTCACTTACTTCCCCTCTCTGAGAGCAGGTTCCTCCACAGCCATGAACAGGCCATGGGTGCTGAAGGAGCCTGGTGAAGGCTCAGAGCTAAAAGGTGGATGCCTCCCACTTGACCTGGGGTTCCCTGTGCTCACCGTCCGGGGCTTTGTCCACTGTGTACCAGAGTTTGAAGCGAGTGGAATGTTCGTTCCTCAACTCCTCCAGCTCAGGCCGCAGCAGGATGTCTTTCTCCGACTGCAGGAGACAGACCGCCCAGTCAGGAAAGGTGACAGACACCTCAACAGGGACAGACCCAGGAGTGGGTCATCATGCCCCTGTGGACCACACTCAGCAGCTCAGAGGAAGATGCTGAAGGTCACTAGAATCCAGCTACCTTGCCTGCAGGGCCCCTCAAAACAGCTGGCCAACCAGACCCTATAAATGGGGCCTGTGAGCCAGGAATGGAGACACATGCTTATAATTCTAGCATCTAGAGGCAGAAGCAGGAAGACCATGAGTTCAGGACCAGCCTCCACTTGTGGGTTTACAGTCAGCTTAAGCTTTCTCTTTCTTCCTGGCCTAGGCAAGGTCTCTGTGCAGGTATCAAGCTGTGTTTGACAGCTGTGCAGGGACCAAGTCTTAGGACGGTTGAGACTAGATTGGAGACAGGACATGCTTCCCTGGGTTACTGTGCCCGACACATGGGCAGTGCAGAGCTGGGCCTGATGGATCCTGGGGATGATGAACCTGAATCATATCTGGAAAGCACAAGGTGCCAGGGTCTGGCCTCTACACTGCTACAACAGGTGGGACTCGGCCCGGCCTCCCCAGAGATATGAGTTCATATTCATCCACAAAACAAACGATCTGAGAAGGCTCTTGCAAAAGTCCCAGCCTAGTCCACCAGTGAGAAGCTACACAACAGGTCACAAAAGCCAGGCTTCCACCATGCTCAGAGGCCTGCGTCCTAGGCAGCTCACCTCCAACTCTGCCCAGGCCAGTATCCTCCCACTCCACCAGAAGTCCAAGGGGAACTCTGCCCAGGGTGAAGGCAGCACCCAGTGTGCAGGAAGGAGTTTAGGGATAGATAGTTGCCCCGGGGCTCCCTCTTCAGCAACCCCCCACACCTGCTGTCACCAGAATGTCTGCCCTGGCCCTCATTCCAGACATCCTCGGCACCTCTGCAGAGCCCTGGCCAAGCCCTGAGCCTGCCTCTGCTGGGGACTGTTCACTGACCTGGTTGGCGAAGAGCAGGTAGCACACGGTGTGGTCGTTTGGGTCCTTCATGACGGCGCGAATCACTTGAAGCATTGGGGTGATGCCTATAAAGCAGGGTCCCCACACACTGAGTGATGCCTGCTGGGGCACACCAGTCATCCAAGCAGGGAGAAGCGTGGGACACTGAGGCGTGGCCTCAGACCTGCCTCCCCAATCCTCACATCCTGACCCACCACAGCTCAGCCGGGGCTCCAACCCTTACCTGTCCCTCCTGCAATCATGCCTACAGACTTCACCGTCCTTACAACAGGGTTGGACTTCTTGTCTGCACGGATGGCAAACTTCCCTAGGAAGAGAAAGATGGTTGATTGAAGCAGCTGTGCCCTGTGAGGTCCAGCACAGGGAGAAGACCACACAGCCCCAGCCAGCTGGAGTGGCTCTGTGCAAATGAGTCCTCTCATGGGAAAGAGAGAGCACAGGTGGGCACTCAGACACTGGCTGGCTGGTTTGGGGGCAACCGAGTAAGCAAAACAAGGCAGTCTATAAGTAAACCTGGTCCCCCAAGGACAGCCAGGGGCAGCCCCTGAGCAGGCCACTTACCCTCTAAACAGCCAATGACCAAGGCAGAAGAGAACACCACTTGGCCCCACCTCCCAGCCTTCCCACACAGAACCCCCAGCTCTCCAGTTCCCAGGGATAGCCGCTCCAATCACCTTTGCCCTGGTAGACCAGCAGCCCATTGGGGCCCCGGAATTCAATGGTGTCTCCGATATTCATGTTTTCCAGATACTGGGACATCTTCCCTCCAGCAGGAAACTTGGGATGGGTGTCCTTGAAGTAAACCTGCAAGCCACACAGGTATCTCTCAGACCCCACCCAGCCTTGGGGCACCCCAGCCTCTCCTAAGGTCCCATTCACCCAAACTTAAGCCTTCTACCCCACACTTCACAAAAGCAAGGCTTCCACCTGCCTCACAGGGCTACTAGCGGGAGGGCCATGCTGCACCAGCTGAGGTTCTGTGTCAGCATCTATACATCTGCCAGGGCAGTGAGGCTCTGGGTATCAGCTCGGCCCCGCCCTTCCCTCCTGGTACAGCTTCAGCAGTCACAAAAACATCCCCCTCGACAACTTCCTTCTGGGCCCCTGTGGGATTACTGCCTTGGGAAAGGGGAGGCCTGTGATACAAATGACCTAAGAATATGGACACAGAGGAGCAGCAGTGCCCCTGTCAGGGCTGGGCCGTCTCCCAGGGGCCTAGACCTTAGACACAAGCAGGAGGCTGACCGGGAAGGGGAGAGGTGTTATAGGCTTGGGTACATCGGCCAGCAGGAGCCATGGAGACTCAGGAGGAGCCAGTCAACGGCTTCTTTTTTTTCTCTCTCTCCCTCTCTCTGTCCCTCTCCCTCTGTCCTAGGCTCCCCCACCTCCCTGCACTCTGACCAGAGATTCCAACCCAAACAGATGCTCGGTCCATGACCATTTCCTTTGTTCCTAGACAAAGTCCCAAGCCGGCCTGGGGCATACAGGACCCTGTCTAGCGCTATGGATGTCCCCACCGTTTATCTGCCCCTCAAGGCCCTGCTCTGCACTTGATTTTTCTTTTTTCTGAGACAGGATTTCTTTGTGTAACTGCCTTAGCTGCCCTGGAACTCATTCCGTAGACCAGGCTGGCCTTGAACCCACAGAGATCCACCTGCCTTCTCCCACCACCCCCACCCCGCAAGAGCAGGCATTAAAGGCGCACGCCACCATGGCCTGGTTCTGTTCTGTACCTGTCAGTTCTCAAGTCCTCTGACTTCTGAGCCTTTACCCCTGGAAGGTTTCCCTTTTCCTCCTCACCCGGCCAATACCCACTCCGCTAGAGGTCTCCCCCTCTCTGCCACCTGAGGAGGAAGTAGGTTTCCACACCCCACCCTGCCACCCGCAGTCATGCCCTGGGGACCCTACCTTGACCACCAAGTCCACGAAGCCCTTGTCATCATCGCTGGAGACGGGAGTGTAGGGCCGAATGACCAAGTTCCCATCGATCCTACTTGAGAGGTAGATGTGCTGGCCTGTAAGGCAGGGAGGGGTCATTTGGGTCAGGCACCATCCCCCCAGGAGCTTTACTTCCCATGACCCTACACCTGTTTCACAATCAAACTCTGGTCCGGCCTTGGCTCCTACCTCAGAGGGATTCCCAGCATGCCTTAGCACTGGTCTCTACACCTGTGCTGGTGCCACTGTCGGGGACACAGACCCCCTCCTCCCACTGAACTGCAGGGAGGAGATGAGCTAGGTTGGGCAGACTCACCAATGGGAAGGCCCAGGATGTGCTGGGGTGAAGGCAGGGCAAAGCGGAAGCGCCGTGTGTCGTGACTGATGATCTGTAAAGAGGCAGAGCTGCTGGACCTCAGAGGTCCCCACGCCAATCCCTCAGCAGTGACAATGACATCACCAGCACACATATACTGGGGGGGGGCAGTCACATGTCTGGTGGGCCTCTGCTCTTGCAGAGAAGGCCATATAACTGGGTGGTCAAAGGAAGGATGAAATACGGTCCCAAAGAGGGATAACAGACAATCCAGAAAATTCCACATGGTGGTGGGAAGGATCCACCTCTACTCTCTGGAGCCTAAGATAACAGGAGCAACTTATGACGGGACTAAAAAGGAGCAGAGCTGAGACAGAATCATTATGTGCCAAACCTGGCAGCAGAAGGTTCTAGAAGTCACTGCAGCCAAGAGCCCACAAGGAGTGAGTGGCTGAAGCTGAGCTATGTAGAGCCAGGAGCCATAGCAACCTCTACTGCCTGGGAGGTCCTGGGGTTGGCCACAGCCAACAGCCCAAAGTCAGGCCTCCACCCTCCACCCTCCACAGACTGGGCACTAGGGCAGAGTCAACAGCTGGACTGTGGAGGACACTTCCCCTCCAGGGATGGCCGCAGCTGCTTAAGAGCCGAAGGAAAGGACCGAGAGACCTCCTGAGACCCCTGTGGGAAGATCAAGCAGTTCGCCAGTGAGTTCTAGCCAGAGCTGACTGTGGATCCTCTCCTGGCACCCAAGCTGGCTCGAGAAGAGCCAGCATCTGCAGGGCCGCACCCACAGGGGGAAGCATCACAGATGGCCGCAGCACTAACACCTGGGGGTAAAAGGCAGGTGTCCCCATCTTAGGTCAGACTGAGAAAGAAGGCCTTGGCCCTCGGGAAGAAATCAGCACAAGGAGGCTGTTGGGCAGGGGAAACCCCACCCTGCACATTTGAGCAGAGGAAACGTTGGAGAAGGCTCTCTGTGCGCCACTACTCAGGGCAAAGCTGTGGGCCACCCTGCCTCCCAGAACCTTTGGGCTGGGTCAAATGAGGCCTCAAGCTGACCGGGAGCAGAGTCCAGCAATACTGACTGGGCCTAAGGGCCAACGGCAGACACCACCCCCTGGAGATTTTTTTCGAGAGGAAGTACAGATAACTACTAAGACAGTGTCTGGCAAGGCAGCTTGGCAGAACCACAAAGCAGGTTCACCTGCTGACAGGGAGGGGCAGCAGCAGGCTGTGGAGAGGGAGGGGAAGAAGCTGAAGTCCAGAAACGCCATGTGCCCATTCAGTGGGGACAGGAGGGTTCCCATTGTGTGAACTTGTGTCCTCATAAAGCACACTAGACAGTCTCAGAAAACAAGCAAACAAACCAAACCGAAGAAGGCAGCTTTGAATCATGTAAACTCATCTGCACTGTGCGGGCAAAATAGAAGCAGGCCTCAAGCTTCCAAAATGGGTGGGGAGGGGAAGCCCCACCGCACAAGCAGAAGTGTTACAGTGACACACAAATCATGTCACACTTTAATGATTAAAATGCAGCAAAGAGGGGAGATGAAAATGAAAAACAAAAACAGGTTAAGAGGGCTGAAATGAGGGGTGAGCCCTGAGCACCTTGCTTAAAGCCCTGGGTTCCATGATCAGTAACACAAGCCAAGAACCTGACAAACAAGGTTTAAAAACATCATGCTGGGGGCTGGAGAGATGGCTCAGTAGTTGGGAGCACTGACTGTTCTTCCAGAGGACCCAGGTTCAATTCCCAGCATCCACATGGCAGCTTATAACTATCTGTAACTCCAGTTCCAGGGATCCAACACACTTACAGATGCAGATGTAGGCAAAACATAAAAAATACACTTTTTTTTTTTATTAAAACATGATGCTGGCTGGGTGCGGTGGTACACACCTTTAATCTCAACACTTGGGAGGCAGACTCATCTCTGAGTTCAAGGCCAGCCTGGTCTACAGAGTGAGTTCCAGGATAGCCAAAGCTACACAGAGAAACCCTGTCTTGAAAAACCAAAGGGGAAAAAAACAAGCAAAAAAAAAACCATGATGCTGGGTCTGGTGGCACTCGGGTAGTGCTTGCCTTTAGTCCTAGCACTCACAGGCAGAGGCAGGGGCATTTCTGTGAGTTCCAGGCCAGCCTCACTTACTGTAAAATCTTGTCTCCAAAAAAAAAAAAAAAAAACCAAAAAACAAAACATGAGAACTCCACTTTGGTAAAAAAAAAAGTATGCATGTGTCTACATATGTACATGCATGTGTCTACACATATGTACAAGACTTACTGAGAGGCCAGAGGTCTCAGTAGGAGAGGATTTGTTTATTTTGAATTTTCCCTTCTGTCTCCTCCACAACACTAAGAACATTACAGACTTGCATCTGTGAGCACCATCAGTTCCCCACGGAGATAATCAATTCCATGGTCACACATTCCAAGCGGAGACCTGGGTCCAGGGCCTGAAGCCAAGGTTCCTCAACTCCTCTAGGCTTTGACTCTCTGCTCCCTGACTCAGTTTTCCTGCCACACCCCTCTGGAAGCAACAAGGGGAAGCCAGGAATAGAGCAGGGAGGGCCTTGAGGAAAAGGGAGGGCATCTAGGCAGGAGGGGAGCAGCTCAGCCTGGGTCCTGACCAGAGGACTGGTCTGGTGCAGACATAGTTCATAGAGGCAGCGAGAGGAAGACATCCAGGCTAACGAAAACCAGGCTGCATCTACCACTCGGGCAGGGGAAGGGAGCTCTTATCTCCAAGGTGCAGGGTGCTCAGCCTCTCACCCTGTTCCCCAGGCTAAGTAGGGGTGTGTACCCAGAAGTCCCACTCTCATACTCTATGGACAGTGAACATGGAGGTGGCCAGAGGGTGTTACATTACCCCGCAGTATAACAGTTACCGTCTTCACCAGAGCAGCTGTGACACCCCACCCCAAGATTCTATGACTTTCCCCCACAGAAGGGAAAGGATGGGCTGGGGAGGGTCAGGGGACTCCCACCTGAGATTCCGGCCACTCCCTTCTGTACCTCCCGTCAGCTGGGGTCAGATGTGGTTCCCCGCTAACTGACTGGGCCTAAGGGCCTCCTGGAGGTGCTACAGTGCACAGGGTTAACCCAAGGGGCCCTCCACCTAAGCCATGTGGGGAAATCCATCATCCATGTCGGGGTGAGGCTTTTCGGTGGTATGGCTGCTTTGGGGTCACCCATGCTTTGAAAGTAAGTCCAATAAACTCACTGGTACCCAGGGTGGCTTGTGGTAGACTGGTACTTTGGTTTGTCACTGTGCCCTATCTGGAGGGAATAGACGTCTGTTTCACCCTCCCCAGGGAAGGAGTTCACACAACAGAGAGTAGGGTCTGAATCCCTCTGTTACTTCTCCGTAGCCTTAGGAAGGGATATCCCTGTGTCTTGCCATCTGTAAAAGGGGCAGGTGATGGGGTGATGAGGTGCCCCGGAGCCACAGGGATGCTGGAACGTGGGGTGGGGCAGTCACCTCCTTGTCAATGAGCCGCAGCGGGTACTTGATGTCGGGGTTCTCGAGGGTGATGGCCGGTGAAGAGCGCTGGAACAGCTTCATAAAGAGGCTGTAGAGGAACCAGACCGGAGAGAGCACCACGTGGCTCAACTGCAAGGACAGAGTGGGCCCCAGGTCAACATGGGCAGGAAGAAGCTCGGCTACCCCCTTACAGGTGACTGGGACCTTCTTTCTCCAGTCTTGTCCAGGGAACTCCATTTGGCAGCCCGTTAGAACTACCAAAACCAGACTTACGACGCCTGCCACATCTCTCAGCCATCTGTGCCCAGTGCCACGAGAAAAGTTTTGAAAAACCTTGAACTTCTGGTCCTCCTGATTCCACCTCCCGACTGTGGAGATTACAGGCATAATGTGTCTGGTATGCAGGGCAAGGTCTCTACTGACTGAGTCAAATCCCAGGCCCAAGTTCCAGTTCTTAGCCCCATTCAGAATCCACCTCAGAGCCCTGTGCTGACCACAGGGCTCCAAGCATCTATGAACCTGAATCCTAGGGGTCACTGACCCCACACTTTCTCCTCCTTCCTTCCCCTCAGAACCAAGGAAACAAGCCAGGGAGGTTGGAGAAGTTGAGTCACTCCCCATAAATAATGACCCCGAATCTCTCCCTGGTGATGTGCTGTGCCTTCAGCAATGGGCTGGGCACTGCTCCTCACTGGCTGAGTAGCCCTGGGCAGCTGTTTTTGGAAGTTGGGCTTAGCTCAAAGAGTGAGTCACTGGATCTGGCCCAGGCCCTTTCTCAGCTTCCTGGTTAGCAGGGATGTGAACAGCCTCAAGCACAGGCTCCTACTTCTACTGCCATGACCTCTCCACTATGGCAGACTGAAATCACAAGCCAAAAGCTCTTTCCTCTCTGGCTATTTCTATCAGTCATTAGGATCACAAGAAAACGGCTCTCACCCACTGAGCCATTTGGTTAGCCCTGTTGTAGCCTCTAAGGAAGGATATTGTTGCTCTCAAGGCCCAGCCCCACTGTCTTCTCTCTCAAAGCCCTGACAGGACTCCCCACCCCGCAGCAGCTCAGAGAGTACTCTGCCTGAACAAAGGCTCACCATGAGGAGTGAGTTAAGGAGCAGTGAGTTAAGCTGGGGGCTCCCCTGATTCCCAGAGGGGTGTGCAACCTAAGAAGTGGAGGGACCATAAACCTGACACACTCCTCACCCCTAAACTGGTTCTGCAGGTTCCAGCAGCCCAGCAGCCAAGGGCCCTTTGTTGGGTCCAGAACAAACTGCCTCTCTCCTAACCAAGGCCACACCCCATGGGCTCCTGGTATGTGACCCAAAGGGTCTAAAAAGGGTCAATGGCTGGACCACATCCACTTAGTGAGCACTACTATGCCCAGCGTCATGCAAGCATCTTTTCTGACCCACGGCTCACTGAAGGACCAAGTTGGCATGAATGTAAGCTCAAAGAGATCCAGGTTTTTGTTTTGTTTTTTTGTTTGTTTGTTTTATGTTGTTGTTTCATTTAGGGTTTTTTGGTTTTGTTTTTGTTTTTCAAGAGAAGGTTTCTCTGTGTAGCCCTGGTTGTCCCAGAACTCTCTTTGTAGACTAGGCTGGCCTCGAACTCACAGAGATCCACCTGCCTCCGTCTCCCAAGCGCTGTGATTAAAGGCCTGAGCCAGCACCACCTAGCGAGACCCAGTTTTGAGGTCCAGCCCAGAATTCAGAAAGGGTCCCCTAAGGCTTGGGGCTCTGGAGAAAGTGAATGAGGCTTCCAAAGGTCATGCACAGAGGAAACACCAGCCACAAACCCTGAGTTGGCACTGTTCCAAGGTCAAGGCCATGCGTCCCTGGGCCCACCCCACTTCAGCCCTTGACTATAAATCTAGTAGCTACTCTAAGTCACAGAGCCTAGCTACTCCAGGCTTGAGGGAATCATCCTGTCCCAAGTCACACCAAAGTCTCAGGATCATATCCATGTCACATCTGCCAGCTTACTCAGGGTAAGCAAGTGGCTGACCACAGAGACAAAACGAAGTAAGAATGAGACCGCAATTTGACCTCAGGGCTTTTCAGTCCCATCTTGTTGTTCCTGAGTCACCTCTGGGGACAGGTCCTACTGTGCTCACATCACTGTCCACAGCTCAGATCCAGACACCAAGCCCCTATAGAAGGCTCAAGCATATTTCCAACCCCAGCTTCCCAAACCAGCACGCTGCTCCACTCCCCCAACACGCACTAGCGCACTAGCGTTCCCACCACCAACCTTCAAGGCACCTATTCTGTGGCTCCAACATAGGCCTCCCCTCCCTGCTCCCTCCACAACTCACCTTGCTCCAGCGTTTGCACACTTTCCTTTCTGCCCCCAAAGCCCTGCCTCTAGATGCATCTGGCCAGCTTCTCCTATGACTCTTTCAGAACCCAACTCAAATGTTAAAGTTTTCCTGGGGAGCCATGCCTCGCTCTCCTGGCACAACCTTAATTTCTCTGTAAGCTCTCTGGAGAGAGGAACCACTCTGGAGGCTTTTCTTCTACTAGATGGTTCCATGGCATGTAGCAAAACCACATCCAGAAACCACCTCTGTCAGGAGTCCTGGGGATGAGCACCGATGACTCTGCACAACTGGACCTATGCTTGGCATACCCTGCTTTATCTCCCCCAGCAGGACTGTTCGGAGTTCACAGGTTCACTAGCTGGAGTCCCCTTGGCCCGCAGGGGGCCTCCCAGGGCCTGCCACACACCTGGATCGTTCCTGACCCTCTGCCATGGGCTCCTGCTGTGGTTTGAATGGGGAATATCCCCCATAGGCTCATGGATCTGAATATTTGGTCCTGAGTTCATGGTGTTATTTAGTGATGTCCTAGAACCTTTAGGAGGTACAGCCTTGCTGGAAGAAGGGCTGGGGACAGATCAGCTATCTCTGCTTCCTGTGCGTGGTTGATGTGATCCCCCAGCTGCCTGCTCCTGCCGCCATGCCTTCCCTGCCATGGTGAACTCTAGCCCTCTGAAACCATGAGCCAAAACAAACTCTTCCCTAGGTTGCCATTGGTCACGCTGCTTTAACACAATAATAGAAAAACAACTACCACAGAGTGCAGCTGTCCCCTTCCCCATTTAACAAAGGAGGCTCAGAAGGGCCCAACATGGAGTTCAGATTTGGTTCCATGTGTGGACCAGCCCACAATCCTCCCTCACCCTAAACCCACCAGTACTGGTCAGTTTTGAGGGCAGTGTCTACAAAGACACCCCTGTGTCAGGACTCTGGGTGGGTCCCAGAGGGTAAGCTAGGGTCCCCACACAGTCCCTCCACCGGTCCTGGGTTCAGAATGTCCCACCTCTCCTGTCTCCAGGTAACTTATGGTTGCCTGGTCACCATTACTCCAGCACTTGGTGCAGGAGGCACTCAGCAAATATTTGTGCAGTTGCCGAAAGGACAACATCCCTCTCTCCTGACCCCTCATGCCTCTCTGACTTCTTGTGTTGTCTAGAAAGCTCCCTAATTGGCTTAGCATAGGCTATGGAGGGAACCAGGCCACTTGCCTCTTGCTTTGGAGCATGCTCAGAAGGTGTAGGTCTCAAGAGCCAGGCCCAGCCTCTGGCTGCGCCCAATAGGCACTGTCCTCTTACCTCAACCCTCAGGCTGCATCTGGGAGGTGCTCTCAGTTAAGATAAGCAAACAGGCACTTTGGTGAGAAGCCTGAGTCCAAGGACACTCCTGGACACTGGGAAGGGAGAGGTGAACCTTCTTTAATGTAAAAATTCCTATCTAGAAAGGTAGCTGTGACAAGCCATCCCAGCTGTCATTCATTCAGTCAACAACCCCAGCAGGCACTCCTGTGTCTAAAGTAGGTGTGTGTGTGTGTGGCCCAGGCCTAAACCCCACGCCCAAGGAGCTCAAACGACAGGGGGAGACAGGCCCACTCACAGGGCTACTGCATCAAGGCCAGGAGCAGAAGAGTTAAGGCTTGATCTCTGACAGTTAGAGGCCCAACCAGACTCACTCACCAGGGGCTGGATGTATTCTGTCCTCACTGGCATCAGGTAAACAGGCTGTCCCCATCCCTTCGCAGCACCACCCTAGTCCCAGTAGCAGTGGCCAAGTAAACAGGAGGCAGATGGCTGAGGCCAAGTCACTGCCCCAGTTCCTCCTCAGCTGTGTGTGCGCGCACACACACACGCACACACACACACAAGCACACACACCTTACCCCAACCAGTTTCAAGTCCTTGGGAGCAGCTGCTTCCTAGACCTTCACACTCCGGCCATACCGGCCATACCGTGTACCAAGAAACCCACCCCTTCTTCTCCTTGCTCTGACAGCAAAGAGAGATAAAGAAAACTGGGTGCCAATGTCCAAGATGGGAGCCCTGAACTCACTTAACATCATAGCAAAAGGGTGCTGCTCGCTCTGGCATTCTCCCCTCTAGGACCCTGGAATCCACTCTGCCTAGGCTGGATAGGGAAAATGGGCATCTCTGCCCCACCCTCCCTTTCCTGCAAGAGCCAGGTCCCTAACCTGGGGCTTAAACAAACCAGTCACCGACTTGCTTACCTGCCCACCTCCCACTCGCCTGCTGTCCTGCCCTATCTAGTGACCACAGCCCTGGTCTTGTTCTAAGTAGGAGGAAGTGGGAGGAAATGGAGGAAGTCCTGAAGCGGGGGGCTCTGGGCTGGGCTCCAGACTCTGGGGGCAGGGAGCCCAGGAGGAGGAACAGGTGGTTAGTGGAGCCACCCTCTGAGCATTCTACACCACCAACCAGGCTTGGGTTGCCAGGAGCCAGTGGGAAGGCCTTCTCGACTCTACAAGAGGAATGGGTCTGTCAGGGCTTGCTGGAACTTACGGACAGGCAGAGCGGCAGTCCAGAACAGTACGCCAAGCCTGCAATGTTTTCCAGACGGATAGCTGACTTGAGTGCCCTCCTCTGGGCTAGAGCCCCCAATATATGCAGGAAGCCTCCCACAGGGCCTGCATGGCCCAGATAAGACACCTGGTACACGTGATGCCCAGCAGCCACCCACAGAGCACATGGCCTCCAGGACAAGAGGCTGGACCGTGTATACTGTAGGCATCAGACACTATGTGGGATCCCAGTTGATCCCCTAAGTCAAGGACAACACCAAGCAATCCTTGGACAGATGAGGTGAGGCCAGGGTGAGGGTCTCCTGATTAGAGCTCTACTGCTGACTTAGCATGAATGGGTGCAACAGCCAGGAGCTGGGGTGCTGTGACAAACCCACCAACATGGTCCAGAAGGTGGGGAGAGCCTGGAAGGCAGGGGAGGGCAGGGGGCCAAGGGCAGCCTCTGGGGAAACTGGTCAGAATGTCACTGTGAGGTGATGTCACTCTGGGGTGATGCCTTGGGCCCAGACTGCTCCTTGAATGGACCATTCTAGATTGACCACTCTCTCAAGAGCAAATGCCAGGCCAAGAAGCCAGACTTCTGTCTTCAGCAGAAGTCTTGGGTCTCACAGAGAGGAGGACAACCTCCATGACAGGTGCTGGCCTAATTTTCCCACATCCAAAAAGCTGGGCACCTCAAAGTTAGGGTGTGTTTATGTGGTTGGGGCTGGGCACACTTCACATGGATGCTCTTAAGAAATAAGGAAGAGAAGGTGGTCTCCAGTTGCTGAGAGGGGGCCTCAGTCAACCCAGAGGGACAGCAGGAGGGTAGATTTATTGATATTAGAAGGTCCCAGAATCCTTAGTGTTCTGGGCTGGTGGCCAAGTCTAAGTGACACTTCAGTAACAACATAGCTGTGTGAGTAACAGGAATGGATGGCCAAGGCCTGAATGTGACAGCAGCGAAGTGACAGACAGCAGGAAAGATCCTGGCCAGCCACCAGCCTTGTTTATGGCAAAAAGATGCCCCCAACCCCTGCTTTAGAGATATCCTACACATTTTGCCCGTGCACATATGCACCCCAAAGTTCTCACTCTAGCCCATGCCAGCTCACACGTGTCCACTATTCACACATGCGTGTCTTCACGCCCATGACTTCATTCTCACACACCTGGGCACCCACAGCATACTGCCCGTTCACAAAACCCTCAGGTGCGCACTCATTACAGATGCATGCGTTTCACATTCTCACGGGCTGGGCTCAGTCGCTCCAACTTTCTCACTCTCACAAGTCACGCCCACTCACGCGGGCACACACGTCACTCATTCCCTGTCACGTTCGTGCACACCCAGGAGGGTCCCCCAAAGTCCGCCCCGCGCCCAGGCCCCTCTGGCCTGCGGCAGAACCGGTGTGGCGCGGCCACTAGCCAGGGCGTGAGTCATGGCCCGCAAGGGGCCGGGTGGGACGCGGTGCGCGAGAACGGATGCTGGGTGTCCCGGATCGTACCGGGTCCCCACGGCGCGCACCTGGCGACCCCTGACCACTGCCACCTACCGTGCTCAGCTGGGACCCCATGGTGGCGGAGAAGACAGTAGCTGCGCTGCTCTGCACCCGCTACTCGGCCGGTCGCTCCCCCCAACGACCCACCCCAGCCGCAACACCTCGGAGGCGGAGCCGCTAGGCGGAGCCAGTCAGGAGGGCTGTGGTGGGCGGATTGGGGCGGGACTCCTGGTGTTCCCGCCCACCACTTCCGCCCTGCGAGGACTGGAGTGCGTTCTGAGTGGCTGTCTGCGCTGCACGGAAGAGGCTCGGCGGGACCAGCCGGGACGGCGCCGCTGTGTGGCCTCGGGCGGTAGCTGATGTCCTCTGGGCCTGTTTTGTACGGGTGTAGAGAACAAGATGGCCCTCCCCATGATAAGCTCTCAAATAGTCAGCCCTGGAAGTTTGCAGGAGCTGACTATGCTGGCCAGGACTCAAATCTCACCCCAGGGCATGTTGCCAACACCTCTGACCACCGTGTTCAGGCCACGGTCCTGCCCAGCCCTTCAAGCCTTTGAACCGGTCGGTCCATTCTGAATAAATTTCCCAAGTGTACTGAGACCAACTCCGGATTAAAGTTCAGATGTCACCTCTACAATCAGGCTGGTTCTGCGCCGGCGCTCCCTGGAGGGACCCACCTGGTGCAGACTGGCCTTTGTAGCGTTTTAAGTTACGGCTCGTTCAGGATGCAGGATGCTCTGCTTCCTCGTGCCCATCCCGCTTAACCAGGCTGACTCTGCAGTCAGCCCCCTGTGTGCCTGGAATCCAGAACCGAGTCTATAGAACGTAGGTACTTTTATAAACACATGCTGAATATGTGACCTAGTGGGGAAGTGAATGCCTCCCTGGTATTCCGGAATATTCTTCAGCGTGGTACTGGCCAGATAGGAAAGAGAAGATCGCTTTGAGAGCACCCCGAACCTGCAGAGCCTGGAGGTGGGGACAAAGTGGTAGATGCAGAAGGCAGGAGAGGCTAGA